TCAGCCGCACGTTGGGAGTAGAGGTTACTTTAAGAAATGAATAACATCTTAAAAACACAAAACAAGAAAAAGAGAATCTGGCTTCATTGTAAAAGTGGTTTAAGCAACATTCAACTGCAAAATACTGATAGACTTTCTCTCACATATCCTCACATCCCAACTTCTCCTCAAAAGCACTTAATACAGGGGCGGCTGGGTGGCTCAATCCGTGGCGCGTCTGACCTCGGCTCAGGCAGGTCATGATCTCACCGTTCGCGAGTTCGAGCCCCACATCGGGCTCTCTGCTGTCCCCCTCTCTCTCTGCCCCTTCCCCCACTTACGTGAATGTGCTCTCTCTCTCTCTCAAAAATAAACAAACAACAAAAGAAGCACTTAATACGGTATTCTGCAAAATGACCTTCATTCAACAAATACTTATTTACTGCATACTAAATAAATGCTAGGCTCTGGTTAAGCAATACCAATGCATTAGGGTTCAGGGGGCTTTTTTTAGAGTTTGGTCGTTACAACATGCATCACAGAGGTAAACGTGGTTTCAACTGTGGCTCCAGATCCTAATTCAAATAGTCTTATGAATCAAATAACAAAGGATAATTACAAGTCTTGGTCTGCGTAATGCACCTCAATCAACACCTAACACCAAACAGCAGCACCGTATCAAACACTGACGGGGACGTGAAGGCCCAAATACCCGAGATGCTCTCACAGAACTTCTAGTGCAGTTGGGGAGGCAGTCAACAAGCAGTCAACAAACAGCCAGACGCCAAGGCAAAACGTCGGTAAGACTATGGAAGCACGGGAGACAAAAAAAAACAATTCTGATTAAGGAAATGAATAACAAAGTCCCCTGGAGGAAGTTACTTACAGAACTGAAGGCTTAAAAGGATTAGAGGCCATTCCAGAGACGATCCTAAGCAAAAGTTTAAGTGAAAGAGGTTCCGTGCCTGGGTCTGTCTGTGCACGTGGGTGGGGGAGAAGAGGGGAGAAAGAGACAGTCTGGGACCACATTAGGGGATCTGCACTAGGCTGAAATATTTGACCAGTAGTCTGGGCAACGGAGAGTCGTCCACGATTTCCAAAAAGGAGAGTGACATAATCAGAGCTATAGGCAAAGAAAGAAGCCCACTCTGATGGCGGCCATTGAGAAGCGACTTTATTTTTTTTTTTTTTTTTGGGACAGAGAGAGACAGAGCATGAACGGGGGAGGGGCAGAGAGAGAGGGAGACACAGAATCGGAAACAGGCTCCAGGCTCCGAGCCATCAGCCCAGAGCCCGACGCGGGGCTCGAACTCACGGACCGCGAGATCGTGACCTGGCTGAAGTCGGACGCTTAACCGACTGCGCCACCCAGGCGCCCCTGAGAAGCGACTTTAATTGGTCAAGGAAGAAACCACCGAAAAAAGACAGAATGGCATCTACGGTCAGGGACATATATATGGGCAGAGAAGTTGAGGCTTTTTTTTTTTTTTTCCCTCTTCCTGTGTGACTTCTTGCTCATCTAGACCTGTCCTTTCGGAGGAAAGCAGGAGAATCTGGTTAACAGAGGTCAGAATAACCTCCTCAACCCACCACAATTTTACCGTGAGTCTTTAACAATGACTCACCAGGTCAGCCTGGCAAAGCTTACTCGCAAGTTCTAATTCGTCGTCATTTATAAAACAAACTAAAAAATGTGATAGATGGAACTGCAATTTTTTTTTTTTTTTTTTTTGCCTCGTACAACCAAAATAACTTAGTCTGAGATACAATTTTTGTACTTAGGGCGGCCACAACAGAGACAAATCTGAGCCCTCAAGAGAAGCTGAACCGGGGGTTGATGTTTCTTATAAAGGAGGGGTGCAGGAGGGGGGAACAACCAAGATCTACAGGGCTGGGCCAAGAGTACAGAGCAATCTGCATTTCCATTTCCCTTTGGGTCAAGTACGTCTGAAACCAGTCCACGGCCATTTCCCCGCAGCCCCTTTCCAAGGCGAAGGTTGTAAACATGTGTTTTCCACCCCACCCCCACCTTAGTGTTACTCTTCGTCCTCAGTCAATTCTTCCTTAACAAGGCAAAAGCAGGGATCAACCAGCATCAGTCCAGAACTGGGTCCGCCGCTAAGTACGGACCCGCTAAGTATCACATGGATACATTTTTCTATTCTAGAAGTGATGAGACTAAGTGTTGGACTCCAGGGACTGGACTCTGAGGTTCCTCCTGGCTCTAAACTGTCGTTTTTGATGATGTTCTGAGACCCTTTGCCTTTCCCAAATCCTTTTAACAGACACATAATAAATACCCGAGGAAGCGGAGGACCAATCTTGCTTCCAGATCCTCTTGCACAACTATGTTCAGATTTCAGACTTCCAAAGGAGGTCCAGCCTGTTGGTGCTGCACATCCTCTAAAAAAATGCTCTGAATTTCTTTCAGGAAAGGCACTAAGGCCTGGAATAAGAGAATCAAGATATAATCCCAGCAAACGAACTACTATATGGAATTACAGAAGTTCAGTGCTCCTTTGGGCTTTTTAAAATAACAGGGGTGCCTGGGTGGCTCAGTGGTTAAGTTAAGCATCCGACTTCGACTCAGGTCATGATCTCGCGGTTTGTGAGTTCGAGCCCCATGGGCTCTGTGCTGACAGCTCGGAGCCTGGAGCCTGCTTCGGATTCTGTGTCCCCCTCTCTCTCTCTCTCTGCCCCTCCCCTGCTCATGCTCTGTTCTCTTTTTGTCTCTCAATAATAAATGGGTGTTTAAAAAAATCTTTAACAAAACAATAATATTCTTAAACAATGACACGGTATTTATTAATGCCCAAAATGTAAAATATGCTTTACACTGTTTCCTTTTTTTTCCCTTCCAGTGTGACTTCTCGTTCTCTCTAGACCTGTCCTTTCAGAGGAAATACAAGAACCTGGTTTTGAAGACTCCTTCTTCGGAGTTACTATAATCTTCCTCCTCCATGAGAACCCCAGGAGCAGGGCTCACTACTACTTCCCATTGGACACATTACAGAAGTAACACGACTGGGGCGCCTGGGTGGCTCAGTCGGTTAAATGGCCAACTTCAGCTCAGGTCATTATCTCCCCGTCTGTGAGTTCGGGCCCGCATCGGGCTCTGTGCTGATAGCTCGGAGCTTCGAGCCTGGAGCCTACTTCTGTTTCTGTGTCTCCCTCTCTCTCTGCCTCTCCCCCATTCGCGCTCTGTCTCTGCCTTTCACAAATGAATAAATGTTAAAAAAAAAAATTAAAAAAAAAAAAAAGTAACACGACTTACGCGGAGTATCAGTTGAGACCAGGTGATGACCGATGAACACAAAAATAAGGAGAATGGAGTTATTTCACCGCACAGGGTCTGCTTCCACGTTTGGAGTGACGATATCATTTAGATGATTACCAAGGACATGGTTTCTAAATGCCACACTCATCTGCCAGTTTAAGTCCCCCTTCTCCCAGGAGGACTGAACCTCAGGTTAATGATTGGGGCGAGCTACGTGCCAGACATGTGCTATAGGAAGGAGCGCTGGGAATACAGCCATCAACAACAAAAAGGCCCCCATGCAACAGGCGTAGGCTACACAAAAGAGGGGGGCAAGAATAATCCTAAAAGAACAGGGAAACCTTCCTGAAAGTGCTTGGCCTCTACCTTTGCTTCTAAGAACCAGCAACAGCGCTGGCAGAGAACATTTAGCAGCCTGAAAACGCATTCGGCCCGGGGGCAAATGCCACATCAACTTTGGGGACCTCAAAGCTGCCAGATTCCTCGCCCTGGGAGCGAGAGACAAGATGAACTCCATCAATAAAGAAGTTTCCCAGCGCCAGCTGCCGGGTCTGGGCCCCCGCGGGGACCCGGAGGGGGAAACGTGGAGCCAAAATGGAGGAGGGGCTCGGGAGGAGTCGGCTGGGGCGCGAGAGCCTCGTGGCTCGCTCCTCATGGCGCCAACCAGCCTCCCCGCTCCGCTCTCCCCGGCCCTGGGAGGCAGCATCCCACCTCGCCAAACGCGGCGCGCACAGCCCACGGCTCGCAGGCTCGCCAGGAGGAGCCCATGCTCCCAATGCAATGGGAGCTTGCTAAACGCCGAGGAAACAAGTACCCACATCTTAAATGCAGTAAAGGGGAGCGAAGAAAGAAACATCTGCGAGGTCTCCACCCTTCCCCACCTGCAGGAAAGGCCCGGGGTAAAGCTAAAAAAGCATTTCCCTCGTTTTTTCTTGCTTGGCTGATGAAACAAAGACGGGCTCCTGAGGGGGGTCGGACGCCCCTAGGACTGACCCCCTTCCGTGCGCCCACGACGCTACAGCCCCTGCAACCGAGGAGCACGCACGGACAGAACAACTTTCTCATTGAAACCGGCCACGTTTCTGCTCATAGCCATACGGAAGCCCGTATTGTCATTTGGTCCATGTCACCGCACCTAGTTGGCGCTCAGGATTTTCCCCCCAAGAAACCCCCGCAGTCCCCAGCCCGACACGAGCTCCCTTCCCCGGGACGCCGCCTCGCGCGTTCCCGCAGCCCTCCAGGTCGGGCTTCCCGGCTCGCCCCGCCCTCGCGGCCCGCGCTGCGCCGCGGGGCGAGTTCCCCCACCCCACCCCCCACCCAGAGCGGGGCTTGGGGGAGGGGGCGCGTCGGGGGCTCCCCGGCGACCCCGCTTAAAGCCCTCTCCCCCCGCCCCCACCGTCGGACTCGCAAAACAATAAGCCTCCGCTTTCTCTGCCCGTTCCCCCTAGGAGCCCGGCCACGAGTTACCGCAGCGGAGAAAAAGAGCGAGCGGGCGCGCGCCAGCCCTGCGACCCGTGGCCGGCGTACCCCGGGGGACCGCGATGACCGGAATCCCCGCCCGCAGTCCGCGCAGAGGCTGGGGTTGGGGTGGGGGGGGGGGGGAGACACTGGGCGCTGGAGCGCGGCCAGGAGCGGAGGCGCGCGGGCCACGCGGTGGCTGCAGCAACTGACACGGCCCGCGGCCGCGCCACATGCGCCGCCGCCCGGCCCGGGCCCGGGAGCACGGCGCCGCGACCCCCCGTACCTTGCCGCTGGCCGTGCCCCCGCTGACGCCGATCAGGAAGGGCTCGCCGCCGTTGGGCTGCTGGTGGTTCTGCAGGGTCTGCTCGCTGTCCCCGGCCATGGCTGGCGCCGCCCCTCCTCCCGCTGCTGCCGACGGACGCACGCTCCCCGCCCGCGCCCGCGTCGGGCTCCCCTGCTCCCCGCAGCCGCGGCTGGGGCGCTGCCCGGGTCCCTGCGAGCCTCGCGGAGCTCGGCCGTGGGGCTGCCTTTCCCGGAGGCGCCGAGAGCCTGCCTCTGCCCGCAGCGGCCGGCTCGGTTTACAGCCCAGGCGGAGGTCAGCGTGATGCTGCTGCTCCAATCCGGGCGGGCAGCGCGCTGCTATTCGCCGAGGCGGAGGCGGCGAGGCGTCCAGCCCCAGCCTCCGCCCCTCCCGGGCCCCGCCGCCGCCGCCGCCGCCGCCCGAGGTCTCCCGGAGAGGTGTGAGGCCGCCCTCCTCCCCCCGCCCCGCTGCCCGGTTAACCCTTTCCCCGACGACCTCCGGCGGACCGAGGGACAGGACACACGCGCTCGGCGCTTTCGTGGGGTGTGCTCCGTCTATTTCAAAGGGGGGCGAAGAGCTACAAGGGCAGATCGGGTAATGGGGGCACTGGCAACGCCCCGGGCTTGGGAAGCAAAATCCCAACGAGCACGGGAGGTTAAGAGGAAGCGAAGACTGGGGACAAAACCGAAGAGACTCTTAAATATGGAGAACAAACGGAGGGTTACTGGAGGGGTTGTGGGAGGGGGGATGGGCTACTTGGGGAAGGAGCTTTAAGGACTCCACTCCTGAAATCCTTGTTGCACTCTATCCTAACCAATTTGGAAGTAAATTTTAAAAATAAAATAAAAGTAAAAAGATGAAGCAAAGAGTTAATGTCGTTTGCCCATTATTCAGGCTAAAAACTTGTGTTTTCCCCAGATGAAAAAATTTCCCCCTCCCGTTTGCCAAAATATGTCAGCGGCTAGCTCTAAATATTTCCTCTCTTGGAAACACCATCCTCCTTAGTAAGAGACTCCCGAGAGTCTTTCTCCCCAGAGAAGGGTAATCGGACGGGGTTAAATGAAGGGCACCCTCCCTCCAAAATGCAAGGCCCTTTCAAACCAGTCTGAAATCACAAATACTGAGGTTCCTGCGGAGTTAGGATTTATGAAAACATTAGAATGGTAATGAATGTCATTTTGACCAGTTAATACTTTTCAGTGAGCTGGGTTTTCAGAGGTGGGCAATTAGTCACTTGATTAGAAAGGGAGTATTTTCTGGTGATTCACAGCCGCTCCCACCTCTGGAGGCAGATTTCTGCATTCACACCTAGTTCCACGAGCAGGTCACATAATCTCCCGGTGCCTCAGTGTTCTCATCTGTTATATGGGAATAATAATGACAACTCCACCCTGGGATTGTTGTACTCAGTGAATTGTTATATTTAAAGTTCTTAGAATAGCAGCTGGCACAGTCTAGGCCCCATGTAAGAGTTGGGAGAGGGCCCTACAAGGCTGAAGCCTGAAAGGGAACTTTTGTTGGGGTGCAGCCGGGGAGCGGTAGGACTCCTCCAGTAGCTTCCAACCCATGAGCTGATGGGCTCCCACAGTCCAAAAGAAAGCTTAAGTCAATAGCATTCGTTTCAAACTTCGTAAAGTACCTCAACTCCGGAATTACTTCGAGAAAATTTGCTCGAGAAAATTAAGCATATTAGAAAGCACAAATGGTCTTTTTTCGCTTTTGAAATATTCATGTCACCATCCAAAACCAAACTCCCACAGACGCTCCCACAGGAGACTAACATGGAGGAAGTAGGCTACCTGGGTAGGTAGAGGCAGGCCTTTGGGAGAGGTTGGCTGGAAGGAGCCTGCCTTACCACGTGGCTGTGGGGTGGGTGGGTTTTAGCTGATTCAGGAGTCGGCCTCGTGGCCCCAAAGGCTTTTCTCCACTAAGGAGATCTCACAGTCTTCAAAGACTTTTGCAGAGTTCTTTATAGCCCAAGATGAAGCCCAATGGGACTTGGAAAACCTGACGGACCCAGGGCTAAGGGGATATTAGGTAACTAGGGAAAGAAGAGGGCGAAAGAATGTTACATCCTCTATGAATTTTCCCCAAATCCCCACCTTCCTTACTTCATTGTTTGTTTCAGTTACTTTTGGGCAGCGGAGGGCAGACAGAGACGGGAACAGAGGATCTGAAGTAGGCTCTGCACTGACAGCACAGAGCCCCATGCGGGGCTCGAACCCACAAACTGTGAGCTCGTGACCTGAAACAAAGGCAGACGCTCAACCGACTGAGCCACCCAGGCGCTGCCCCCGCCCACTTTCCTTATTTCTATAGCCTTTTTTCCCATGATATTTCCTTACAAAAATTTCGACACATAGAGTTTAAATGTTTTTTTTTTTTAATTTTTTTTTTTAACTTTTATTTATTTTTGAGACAGAGAGAGACAGAGCATGAACGGGGGAGGGTCAGAGAGAGGGAGACACAGAATCCGAAACAGGCTCCAGGCTCTGAGCTGTCAGCACAGAGCCCGACGCGGGGCTCGAACTCACGGACCGCGAGATCATGACCTGAGCCAAAGTCGGCCACTCAACCGACTGAGCCACCCAGGCGCCCCAAGAGTTTAAATGTTTTAAACACTGACAGAACCACCATCTAGACTCCACCACGAACATTGTACCACACTTGCTCTATCACACTAGCCATGTGCCCATCCCTCTAGCCAGCACATTTTTATTGTTGCACTTGGGTTGCCTTTACCTTGTTAGTTTGAAGACACTTACTGCAAAATGATTTGTACATTTGTACATTGTTTTGTTTTTTTTTTTTTTCTTTTAATTGCTATATCCCTAGCACCTAAAACAGTTTCTGGCACCTGTAGGACCTTAATAAATATTTGTTGAATAAAGGAAGAAACACCACGTCTCATTTCTACATTCCCAAGGCCCACTGGGCAGAATGACAGGCAGGTAAGAAGCACTCGATACATGTTGAATGTATTGAATCAACAAATGAAGAATGCGGAAGAGGTAAAAGTACCAAGGAGTAAACTTCTCTCCCACCATTTTGGAATGAAAGGTGGTGTTCCCTCGATGGTATTTACACGGTTCCCAGTCTTATTTCCAAATGTTTTCTTTTCCTGGCATTCCAAGCAACTGTCTGCATGTAGCCTTGTATGTGCATCTATTAACTAGTCCAACCAACTCATTAACTGAGCTAATTCATTACACTTATCTGCACCTTGTCTAAAGGTTTTATTGGGGGGAGGGGCCTGGGTGGCTCAGTCGGTTAAGCATCCAACTCTTGATTTCAGCTCAGGCCATGATCTCACAGTTCATGAGTTCAAGCCCCTATTAGGGTATTGCACTGACAGCGTGGAGCCTGCTTGGGATTCTCTCTCCCCCTCTCTGCTGCTCCCCTGCTCATGGGGGAAAAAAAAAAGAGAGAGAGATTTTATTTTTTTATGTGATTTCTACCTTCAACGTGGGACTCGAACACACAACCCTAAGAGCAAAAGCCACATGCTATACCAAACTGGCCAGGCGCCCCTCCTGTACCTTGTTTCATAATTTGACTTCCGTGCATAAGTTAATATACATGAAAGTGCTCTGAAAAGAAAAACAAAAGCTGTCTATATAAAGGTAAGGCCTAATTAGCAAGGACATCCAGCTGCACTCTGCTCTCCCATTTTCACTCTCTTCTTTCCCTAGGGCTGCCTTACCTCCACGTAAGGAAGTCACCCAAGTCCATTTACATTAAGAGTATTCTCAGCACCGGTGACCTCGACAAGGACTTTGTATCTCTGCTCTCTATACAGCAAGGCAGGCTGTCCGTGCCATTCCCTATGCTGTGTCATCCTCCCTCAGGAGCCTGGTCACCAAATCCCACAGCTAGGGATGTTCAAATCATGTTTGAGTCTACTGTAGCAATTCCACTGCAGATTCTGAGCTAAGTGATTTCCAACCTTCCTCCTTCCCCTCGCACTAAAGGGAAAAAAAAAAAAAAAAAATCAAACATGTTCAATAAAATCCGGAGTTAGAACAGATTCAAGGAAATCCATGTTTCTCAGTATCTGTGATAATTTTACTTTCTGTACAGATTTCAGTCTGATCAAGTTCTGGCCTAGTTAACATACGGGGACAAAGTCAGCATGAGTGTGCAATTGCAGCTGTGGCCAAGGAACAAAAGGAGACACGGCCGTTCCCAGTCCTCTGTCTGCCTGCCTGCTCTCTAAGTAGCTGTAGTTCGGAACTAGACAAGGAACGCTACATTTTGTCTCCATCTGGAAAGTTCTACCTCTAGGTGCTTCACAAACCATGGAAACTATCACATTTCCAAGCCAGGAAAAAAAAAAAAATGTCAACAGACTTTAGCTTGTCTCTGAAACATTTTGGTGGCCCGTGTGGCCTTTTATCATCAGCAGTTGCTTGGACAGATCATAAGCACTGTTCTGAAATGCTGGCCAGATGATATTAAAGCTCCTTACGTCTAGCTCTATGATGTTAATCACATTCTCAGATACTGTTGGCAGTGTGTTATACAGCATAGTCCCAAACCCCAGCATCCGCAGCATCAGGGAAGGCAAAAGCGTGGGCCCCATCCCAGAAGTGAAGAATCCAGGGGTGCCTGGGTGGCTCAGTTGGTTAAGCGTCTGATTCTCGGTTTTGGCTCAGGTCATGATCTCACAACTGGGGAGTTCAAGACCCACATCAGGTTCTGTGCTGACAGTGTGGAGCCTGCTTGGGACTCTCTGACTCCCTCTCTCTCCTCCCCTCTCCACTCTCAAAAATAAATAAATAAACATTAAAAAAAAAAAAGAATCCAAAACTCTGTGGGTGGAGCCCATTAATCTGTGTTTGATAAGCCCTCCAGGTGTCTCCAGAACCCACCCACCAAAGTTTGAGAATTACTGATCTGGGGAAAGAAGGCAATGGGCTCCAGTTGGAAAAGCAAGGTTTACATCCTTGCTTTGCTACTACTTTGTAAGCTATGGCAAGTTACTTAACTTCTATGGACTTCAGGTTCTTCAACTGTTAAATGATACGTGGTTTGTAGGATGGTTGTGAAAATAAAGACTATATACCGGCATGTAGTAGTTGTTAAATAAATACCATTTCCTTCCCCTTCAATCACAGCTCTTATTACAGAAGTCCCACCACTTAGGGATTAGGAGTTCCAGAAATAAGAATTCCTAATCCCCCAGGTCCCTTTAAGGTAAAAATTAAGATATCTAGAACAGGCAAATGGACAGAGACAGAAAGGAGATTGGTGGTTGCCTACAGCTGGGGAGGTTAGAAAGCAAACAGGGAGTGGCTGCTGAAGGAGTACAGGATTCCTTCTTCTTTCTTTCTTCATTTTAAATAGGCTCCCGGCCCAAATGAGGCTTGAACTCAAGACCCTGAGATCGAGTCAAATGCTCTTACCAACAGAGCCACCCAGGCATCTCCAGGATTTCTTTTTAGATAAATGTTCTAAAATTGACTGTCTTGATGGCTGCACAGCTTTGAAAATCGTAAGAACCACTGAACTGGTTCTTACCTTCGTGAATTGTATGCGGATTATATCTCAATAAAGCCGTTTCAAAAACCAGGTTTCTTTCTTTAAATTTTTTTTTTCAACGTTTATTTATTTTTGGGACAGAGAGAGACAGAGCATGAACGGGGGAGGGGCAGAGAGAGAGGGAGACACAGAATCGGAAACAGGCTCCAGGCTCTGAGCCATCAGCCCAGAGCCTGACGCGGGGCTCGAACTCCCGGACCGCGAGATCGTGACCTGGCTGAAGTCGGACGCTTAACCGACTGCGCCACCCAGGCGCCCCTCAAAAACCAGGTTTCAACAAGCAGGCTAGGAGAAGAAAGAGATTTTTAGGAATTGGGGACAGAAATGGGCAAAGGCACAGAGAGACTGTGAATTAAGAAGAAGGTGTCAGAAGACTTTGTAACCTATAAAATGTTACATAAATGTAAATGTTGTTAATGTTGTTTAACTCAACATATTGACTTTTGTGCATACAGCTTTACCCCACAAAGACAGTTGTCACACCAGGGCTTTTATATTTCAGCTGGCCCAACTACAGAAATCCCATATGTCCTAAGAAGCCTTCCCAGACTTTGAAAAGATTAACATATAGATTTTCACTCTATAGAGATTTTCTGATTTTCTCTCCTGTCCCCAACCAGGATATATTTTCCAGCATGATTGTATGAAAGTAAGACTGGGGTATAACCAGAAGTTAGTCGTCTCTCCCAGAACTTACTGGCTCCCAATATGAGCAAGCTCCTGGCAACCTCATTTTGTTCACTCTCCGTGTTCTAAGCCTTTTTTTAAAAGTTTATTTATTTTGAGGGGGGAGGGGCAGAGAGAGAGAGAGAGAGAGAGAGAGAGAGAGACAGAGAGAGAGAGAATCCCAAGCAGGCTCCACACTGTCAGTGCAGAGCCTGACTCAGGGCTCCAACTCAGGAACCAGGAGATCATGACCCAAGCCAAAATCAAGAGTTGGATGCATAACCGACTGAGCCGCCCAGGTGCCCCCTAAAACATTTAGCTTCATTTTGTTCACAGGGCTTTTCCCAGACCTGCGTCTGACCCTTCGCTTCTTTTCCTGTCTCCAGACTAAATTCTTGCTCTCCCACTTTTTTGCAATGACTTCCCTCACTTCCCCCAGTCAGCTCTGGGCCATCTTCTCTGCAAACAACCTACTCGTCCCCCCTCCTTCACTCCGGGGCTAATGCTCTTTCCATCACACCGTAAGCGATGCACTGTAGTTGGTGATGTACAGGGGTGGGACTAGGGGTTGAGAGAGGAGACCCCTAGGGTGCAAGATGTAAGGGGGCTCCGACTGTCAGACGGAGCGAGTGCACGTGTAGGGTGAGCCTTGAAAAGGAGCCCCTCCTTATGCGTTGACCCTGAGCGCCTTCCTTGCTTCATCCTGGTCCCAGCCCAGGTGACTGTCGAGAAGAGAAGCAGAGGATTGGTATAGCTGATGGCAACTGCCTCAGAGGAGTACCTACATTTAGTCTGGTGGCCAAGGATGGCAAGTTTGACTGTCCTTGAGATCCTGGGCCGAAGTGCCAACCGGAGGCCAAATGAGATTAGCAGGTCCAGCCGATTAGTCTTAGCTCAGGGTTCAAGTGGTATTTTCCTATAAAGTTATTTTGGTATGTCAAAGTGAACTTTCCCTGGGTCATTAGGAGAGGAAATTAGTTCAGTTCTGCTTTGTAATGAAATTACAGCTGTTCCTGGTGGGAAGAAGGCTTCGGGCTTAAAGGGAGGAAGGGCTAGTGTTTCAGAAATATTTTTAGCCACAGACTAAAAAAAACTAACAACAGCAATGGATTCCCCAGGAAGACACGTGCCCACACATGCACACAAGGAGAATTTTGAGTATAATTTACTCAGGCCCTACATAACCCCCGTTATCAGTCTGGTGGCCAGGAGATGAAGTCGGGGCAAGGGCAGCCTCAGAGGAGAGCATCTCAGAAGTGTTAGCTCTTCTTAGGGAATATGGGCCACCTCTGTGAGTACGGAGGGTACAGGGGTCCAGTGGCTACACAGGCCACTGTGTAGATCCTCAGGCTCTAACATTCCCAACCCTCCTGCCTTGGCTGACCAACGCAAACAATGACGGAACTCTGAGACTCTAACAATTAGTATTTCTGCCTGTTGCTGAAACGTGTCTGCCCTGCTTCTGCAAGAGATCAGGGCCTCTTTGGAAGCCACCAGAGGCCTCCGACTCTCACACAGAACCCCTGACTGCTTGCTAACAGCAGAGTATCACTAAGATGTAGTAGCAACAAGCCAACTCCACTGTCTGTGCAGGCACTGGTCCCCCGTCTTTCTGAAAGGCCTGAAACATCGCACCTGCCACAGCCTTCGCCTCTCCAGGGACATTGTCCCAGGTCACCACCAGGGGAATCTTTACCTCACTTTAACCTCACTATGAAAAGAACGGAGCCACCACCTGGTGCCACGTCCCACTTCCCAGCGTCCTCCTCATCTGCTGGGCAGTAGATGAGCCAGTCCCCAATACCCCATCTGACCCCCAATTTCGTGGACCACTTTTGATGCCATTTGTGCTCATCTGGGCCCTCGACGAAGCACATGCCACTAGGAGTAAATGTACAATCATTAGGGGAAATGGCTGCAGGAGGAAATAGGAAGGGGCTGGAAAAGCCCGAGAGAGAGGTCATTTGGACTGCAGCACGAGCCTGAGCCTGAGTATGGGAGAGGTACAGAGACAAAGAACGTTGGGCAGAAGCATCCTAGACTACCATGCAGACGAAGAAAGGCTCAGCCAAGCTGTTGTGAGTCCTTAAGTCAAAGTTGTTAGCAATCAGAAGAACCTCATAACTTCTAGGAACAGACCTGCCTTTGTTTTCCGATGACACGCAGCCACCGGCTGGGACTAGCCTGGGGGGAAGCGTGGCCGGGGAGCAAATGCAACAACATATTTCAGGGCACATTAGCCGGTGTCGATTATGTTCTTTGTAGGTAGAGATCTTCGAGGACTTCTCCCGACCATCACATACCGAGAGCGAAGTATGGAAATACCCAACTCGAATTGTTGAATTATCTATTGGGGAATGAATTCAAAGATCCAGCCAGTTCTCAAGACTCCCCTGTCTTTTGCCTTTCCCCGGACTCCCAGGTCTCTGAGGTCCCCTCCACCCATGTGTAGTATCCTACTTAGCCAAAAATGTGTGAGGAGCTCCTCCCAGCCCTTGTGGGTGTCTCTCACTTCCAGGATCCCCCAGTTAGATTGCCGACTGCTTCGCCGCGTGTTCTGAACCAGAACCTTTCATCTTCAAGCAAGAATCTCCCCTATCTGTGCCTCACTAAGTCCGCCACTCACTGCTGGCCGAGGGCGTGGGGCTTTGCCCCCTGCACCAAATGGGCTCTGACACCTCTTGCAAAACCGAAAACTTCCCAGTGAAATAAAACACAGTGAAATAAGATTCTGGGCTCTGACATTTTCACCAGTGAATTCTACCAAACATTCAAGGGAGAGTTAATACCAAGATTACACAGACTCTTCCAGACAGGAGAAAAAGATGGAACACTGCACAACTCATTATTTTATGAGAGCAGCACAGCTTTACTACTAACATCTGGCAACGTATTACCAAAAAAATGGAAAATTAGGGGCCCCTGGGGGGCTCAGTCAGTTAAGCATCCGACTCTTGATTTTGCTCAGGTCATGATTTCATGGTCGTGAAACAGAGCACAGCATCAGGCTCTGTGCTGTTAGCACAGAGCCTGCTTGGGACTCTCTCTCTCCCTCTCTCTCTCTCTCTGCACCCCCCCCCATTTAAATAAATAAACTTTAATAGAAAAAAATTGGAAAATTAAGGGCCAGTGTCTCTGATGAGCACATGTATAAATCCTGAACACAATTTAACAAACCCAAACCTAGTATTATATCACAGACCGTCTTATTTATTTAAAAAAGAAAAATGAACTAAAATTAAAGTAATATTTGAAAAATCTATACTTTAAATAATGTAGATCTGGCTCAAAAACAATGATTGTATCTTTAGATATGGATAAATCTCGCGATGAAAAGAACTGTTTCTTGAACACTCCAAAGCAGTTTCCCAAAACATAGGCCTTGGAACTTTGGTTTGGGGAGGGGAAAAAAAAGATACTGGGAGTGAACAAGTTTGGAAAAACCTGTGCACTGCTCTGCTCCCCTTTCACTTCCTGGAGAGAGTCACGGTGTCCCTGAGTGCTTTCAACACCCTGAAAAATGCTGCAATTAAGAAACATGTTTGTTTGTTTAAACCTGTGTTTTACCAAAGTTACCAAACCACAGAATCCTTTTTTCTCATTTGCCTATTAGCAAGGGGCAGAACCGATGTTCTGTGGAATTCACCCTAAGAAATGCTTCTCTAGGGGCACCTGGGTGGCCCAGTTGTTTAAGGGTCCAACTCTTGGTTTCAGCTCAGGTCATGATCTCATGGTTCCTGGGCTTGAGCCCCGTGTTGGGCTCTGCACTGACAGCGAGGAGCCTGCTTGGGATTTTTCTCTCCCTCTCTTGGCCCCTCCCCGGCTGGTTCTCTCTCTCTTTCAACAAATAAAAAAGTAAACATAAAAAAAAAAAAAAAAAAAAAAGCTTCTCTATAGTGACTGAGTGTCAAAACAACAGATCATCTTACAAGGAATTAAACAGTATCCTGCTACCTTGGAGGAGGTCCTAAGAGACCTATTTACATGGAGAATAATATTTATTGACTTTAGCTTTATATTAGACAGATGTCTCATGTATAATATTCAGCTAGTAATAATTTATTATAATTGTTCTCTGGCTTAAAAAGTTGTAGATATTTAGTATAAAAAACAATGAGGGAATTTTTTTTTTAATGTAACGTTTATTTTATTTAGTTTTTATGTTTAAAAATTCTGTAATTTTTTTTATTCATTTTTGAGAGACAGAGAGTGAGCGGGGGGAGGGGCAGACCGAGAGGGAGACACAGCATCCGAAGCAGGCTCCAGGCTCTGAGCCGTCAGCACAGAGCCGGACGCGGGGTATGAACCCACGGACCACGAGATCATGACCTGAGCTGAAGTCAGACACTCAACCAACTGAGCTACCCAGGCACCCCTATTTTACTTTTGAGAGACAGAGAGAGAGCACGAGCGGGAGAAGGGCAGAGAGAGGGAGACACAGAATGTGAAGCAGGCTCCTGGCTCTGAGCTGTCAGCACAGAGCCTGACGCAGGGCTCGAATCCAAGAACCGTGAGATCATGACCTGAGCTGAAGTTGGACGTTGAACCGACTGAGCCACTCAGGTGCCCCTCAGGAATTTTTTATGCAGAATGTGAACATCCTCTCTAATCCTCTCCCCAAGAGCTAATCATAATTATGATTATTATTTCAGTTTTGTTATTTTTATTTTGTTATTATTTTATTTTATTTTGTTATTATTTCAGTTTTGAATATTCATATCTGCAAAGTTTTCTACAATAACTGCTCACTAGCAGAAAAGCCGGTCAGTTTTTGTGAGCTACTGAAAAACATACCTATTAATATTGCAAAAACACTTAAGCATTCAAATAAATGTGAGAGCTTTGAAAAATACGTGGGAAAGGAGAACATTTTTCTTTCATGTTTACTTATTTTAGAGAGAGAGAGAGAGAGCAAGGGAGGGGCAGAGAGACAGGGACAGAGGATCTGAAGCAGGCTCTGCACCGACAGCAGAGAGCCCGACATAGGGCTCAAACTCACAAATCGTGAGATCATGATCGGAGCCAAAGTTGGACGCCTAACCGACCGACTGCACCACCCAGGCGTCCCTGGCAGAGAGGAGCATATTGAAAGTTAAACACAAAAGGGAAGATTAAAGAAGTAAACTCTCAAGAAAAGAAGGCAGAAGATTGAAATCTGATAACTTCCCAAGAAATAGGACACAACAAGATGTGAAACAAAGGGAACATTTATATGTTTATTTTAGGGTACTCCAAATATTTATCTTTTGAATATAATATTTGACAATATCATAAAAAGCAGCTTCCACTATGGCTACTATAAACCAAGACGTACTTCCATAGGAAACAATTCACAGGCCCCAAAGAGAAAATGAGTAAAAGACATGGGTAGTTGATAGGTATTAGCTGAAAGGGTGGTATCTCTCATCCATAACCACCCAGGACTTGCAATCCAGATAACTGTCACCCTGTGACCCGAAGCACCACTACCTGTCACCAGAGAAGACTATAATGAGGCATTCATTTTCCCCTCTCCGTTGGGGTTTTTAGGGATTAAGTGGGGTTTGAAATGACAAGAAAAGGAGTTTTGTAAATAAAACCGTATGAATGAGCATACCAGATCAGACTCATGGATCATTTAATGCAGGACAGGACATCTGGCAACAGCATCCATGGCTATTTTGTGGAAGGATCTCCTCTTCCTCTGCGTTCCCAATTAAAAGTTTCAGGTGCAGTGCTGATAATTATATTTCCTCTTAACAGCTCAGTGTGAAGCATCATAATGTTTTCATCTTGTTCTCAATCCTTCTGTGAGATCACTTTCACCTCCTCCCGCGGACCTTTCTCTGGCTTTGCTGTATTTTTCCTGTGGAATGGACACAGAACTACGTATAGTATTCCAGATGTGAAATCTCACTTTGTTTCATTTACAATGCCATTCTTAATGACCCCCGATTTCTGCTCTCTGGGGCTGAAGAAGGAATCTGAACCAGAATGTTTGAAGAACAAGATGATTGTCTCTCTATTCTTCCTTTCCTAGACTTAGGTGATAGTCAATCCTTCTTTTAAGTTTGATGGAGAGAAAACTAGACCAGTAAGTCAGGAGACCTAGCTCATGGTCTGGAATTATCAATAAGGAACTCGGTGACTCTATAATTCATTTGAATTGTATGAACTTCAATTTATTCATCTATTAAATGAAGGGATTGACTTCAAGATGTTCTGAGTTCTCTTGCAGCTTTGCATTCATATAACTGAGACATTGTAGCCTGTGTGGCACTTTCCCTCCATTCTTATTCCTCGCGAGGACTTTTAGTAGTGTATTCCTACTTGGCATTTCACTTACTGGAATTAGTTAGTGTCAACCATAAACATGAATGTTTCACCTTAAATGTAAATGCACTTCAAATGTAACATGCACTTCAAACCTTCAATGTGTAAGGAACCACCCCCACTGTGCATTTTAAAGCTTCTGCTCTTTATGTCCTAGCTGTAAATTGGAACTGAATCTATTCATTCATTTATACGTTCTTTTGTTAAATATTGAGTTCCGGGGCACCTGGGTGGCTTGGCTGGTTAGGCGTCTGACTCTTGACTTCAGCTCTGGTCATAATCCCAGTGTCATGGGATCAGAGTCCCATATGGGGCTCTGCCACCGGGCATGGAGTCCACTTGAGATTCTCTCTGTCTCTCTCACTCTTAAATTAAAAAAAAAAAAAAATCTATATCTATCTATCTATCTATTTATCTATCTATACTTCCTATTATTTGCCAGTAAGACAGATGTCATTCCTACTCTTACTGCACTTACAATCAAGAAAGAAAAGAAAAACAGGTCCTCGAATAGGCCATGACAAAAAATGTGAAGCTAGGGAAAGCATTAAGGAATATATAGCAGATACGTCTAACCAAGTTCCAGAGCGACTTCAAATTTTTATTTATTTATTTATTTTTAATTTTTTTAACGTTTATTTACTATTGAGAAACAGAGAGAGACAGAGCATGAGCAGGGGAAGGGCAGAGAGAAGGGAAGACACAGAATCCAAAGCAGGATCTAGGCTCCGAGCTGTCAGCACAGAGCCCGATGTGGGGCTTGAACTCCGGAACTGTGAGATCATGACCTGAGCCAAAGTCAGACGCTTAACCGACGGAGCCACCCAGGGGCCCCAGCAACTTCAAGTTTTTAAAATAACCTTTGGCAGGGCCCCTGGGTGGCTCCGTCAGTTAAGCATCTGACTCCCGATTTCGGCTCAGGTCATGATCTTATGGTTCATGAAATAGAGCCCTGCTGTGGGCTCCTCGCTGACGGCACAGAGTCTGCTTGGGAGTCTCTCTCTCTCCCTCTCTTTGTGCCCCTCCCCCACTACATGCCTGAGGGCACTCTCTCTCTCTCTCAAAATAAACAAACTTAAAAAAAAAAAACAAAACCCTTTGGCTCCACTATTTGAAACTGAAAATTTAAATAAGTTACACTTGTAGTTCTATTTAAGATAACGTAATTTAAGTAATAACATTTATAAATTTTCTTTTCCCTAAAAAAGTAGCTACATTCCAGTATCCCTATATCAAGAATACCTTCTAACCCAGGAGAAGAGTTTCCAAATGGCTTTATATTTCCTAGTAGCTGGAAACCGCTTCCTTCCTTTTATATGGTAGGTAGTAAACAACAAAGCATTTTTCTCCAAGTGCAAAAGTGGCCTGACATAGGTAAAATGCATCAAATCCAATATAATTTATCTGTTGGTCACAGAAATGTTTCAGCGGTATTCTACATGGAATGTCCCACAAACCAATGTAATGTATTTGCTACAAAGGAACATAATTGGCCAGTACAGACAATGGTCTTTTGTCTATTTAAGAGGGCAAGGCTTCACTGTTGCTGTTATTGTCGAATACTTTTAAATCTTAAATGTAATGGCTTTGACTTTTTAATATCTCCGTTACATAAGTAATATAGAATTATAGACAAATTAGAAACTCTTGAGTGTGTAAAAAGAAAATAATTACCCTTAAAGTTTTAGTCAGAGATAACTACTATTAACAATTGAGCGTATAACCTCTTGATGTTCCCCCCTTTCCATTCTTTTATTTAACATACTTCAACTGCACAGATTTGAAGCGATCATCACCCTTATTTTATCACACATTCTCATCACTGACCCTCTTTATTTATTATGTATTTAATAAGCCAATAAACATCTACCACCCTTGCAAGACCTAGAATACTGATGACAAATCACAACTTATTGTCAATGTTCCAAATGGTTTCCTATGCATAATACATATATATTACTCTTTTTTTTTTTTTTAGGTACCTTTTTGGGGCACCTGGATGGCTCAGTTGGTTAAGAATCTGACTCTTGATTTCAGCACAGGCCATGATCTCACAGTTCATAAAATCAAGCTCTGCATCAGGCGCTGTGCTGACAGCGTGGAGCCTGCTTGGGATTCTCTCTTTCCCCCTCTCTCTCTTTCTCTGTCTACCCTTTTTTGCTCCCTCTCCCTCAGAATAAATAAACATTTATAAATAAATAAATAAATAAATAAATAAATAAATAAAGGTCCTTTCTAGTCAAGATTTTATTAGCCAAGTCTCCATAGTTAAGAGATTGCACTAAAAAGCAACGTTTGCTCTAACACATATTTACCAAAGAGCCAATATAGTCACATAATATACTGTGAACTTGCAGTGAAATCAATATGCATTTATATAATTTTAAACACTGAACAGTATTCCATTGCATTCATTTGTTATAATGTATTTAATTAGTCCTCTTTTTTAGCATTTAGATATTCTGCTTTTTTCAATTTTTTAAATTGGGTCCCTGCGTGGCTCAGTTGGTTAAGCATCTGACTTTGGCTTAGGTCATGATCTCATGGTTCTTGAGTTCGAGTCCTGTACCAGGTAAGCTCAAGCCCTGCTTCTCTCTCTCTCTCTCTCTCTCTCTCTCTCTGCTCCTTGTAAGATTCTCTGTCTCTCTCCCTTCCTCGCTCTCAAAAATAAAATAAAATTTTAAAATTTAAGGCTATGAAAACATCCTTAAAAATGCTTAATCGCCCATCCTCTGATTATTTCCTATTGTTGGATCAAAGGATATGTACATCTTCAAGCCCTTTGATACATTATGATAAATTACTTTTAAAGTATTTTTTAATGGTTATTAATGTTTGAAAGAGAGAGAGAGAGGGAGAAGGGGAGAGGCAGAGAGAGAGGGAGACAGAAGTTCCTGATGCCAGAAACCCCAGGCAGCTGGAAGTTGCTGGAGTGAATACAACAGGTTAGACCGAGGGTGGACAGAGCACTGACAGAGTCTGTTACGCTTTACAAAGAAATTGCATATAGATCATTTAATTTGGGATATTTTGGCATACTTTTAGGTCGTATGTGCAAGAGTAACCGTATACCTCATGATGAATGGAGGTGTGCTTGGCTGGTTTAGTTGGTAGAGCATGTGACTCTTGATATTGGGATTTTGAATTCGAGCCCCATGCTGGATGTAGACACTATTTAAAAATAAAATCTTTAGTGGCCCTGGGTGGCTCAGTTGGTTAAGCATCCAACTCTCGATTTCAGCTCAGGTCCTGATCTCACAGTTTGTGAGTTCGAGCCCCACATCAGGCTCTGTGCTGGCGGCATGGAATGGGCTTGGGATTCTTTCTCTCTCTCCCTCTCTCTCTGCCCCTTCCCTGCTCATGCTGTCTCTCTCTCTCAAAATAAATAAGTAAACACAAAAGTAAAGTAAAATAAAATAAAATAAAATAAAATAAAATAAAATAAAATAAAATCTTAAAACAAAACACTTAACCGACTGAGCTACCCAGGCGCCCCTTAAAATCTTAAAACAAAACAAAATAAAACATGATGAATGAAAAGTCACAGAAACAAAATTTAGTATGGCCAGAGGTGAAAAATTCTCTCAGATAAAAACACAAATTATATGATAAAGACTGTGGAAATCAATTAGAAAAACAATAACTGTTAAATCCCCTCCAATTTTTATGTATCTGTGACCTTTAGGCCAACTTGAAATGTGCAATATATAAGCCTACAGGTAGATGAAGACAAAGAAAATATTTTTAAACTCTTACATGATTGTATATTTGCATATTTAAGGACTTTTCTAACCTGAATTAGTAATATTCTAACATCATTCCAGTCCTTCCATTTACCCATTATTTTAGGTTTCAAAAATGGTAACAACTTTGTAAAATAAAATTTATATCTATATATCTATATTTATATAAAATAGGTAACATAAACACAAGGTAAACAAAACTAAGCAATTTGAGGGGCGCCTGGGAGGCTCAGTCGGTTAACCAACCAACGTTGGCTCAGGTCATGATCTCATGACTGGTGAGTTCGAGCCTCACATAGGGCTTTCTACTGTTGGCACAGAGCCTACTTCAGATCCTGTGTCTCTTTCTCTGCCCTTTCCCCACTTGTGTGCTCTTAATAAATAAACATTTTAAAAAATTAAGCAATTTGAAAGAGTATACAATAAAAAAGTACATCTTTACCATGTGTATTCCCAGTGTTACTACCCAAAAGTAGTCACTCTTACTGGTTTCTCATGTATCCTTTTTTTTTTCTTAAGGGGAGAACAGAGAATTTTTTTTTAATGTTTATTTACTTTTGAGACAGAGAGACAGAGCATGAACGAGGGAGGGTCAGAGAGAGAGGGAGACACAGAATCCGAAACAGGCTCCAGGCTCTGAGCTGTCAGCACAGAGCCCGACGCGGGGCTCGAACTCACGAACCGTGAGATCATGACCTGAGCCGAAGTTGGCTGCTTAACCGTCTGAGCCACCCAGGCGCCCCTCATGTATCCTTAAGACAGTCTATGAAAAAAACAAATACACACACAT